AAAAATATCGATATATCGACATATCGAGATTGAAGTCGTCGTGGCCTAACGGATAAGACGTCCGGTGCATTCGTATGTAGCGATGCACCGGTGTTCGAATCCCGCAGGCGGGTACCAATTTTCCTAATGAAATACGTACTTAACGAGTGTTCACGATTAACTTCCACGATGAAGGAATAACATCGTGTAATAAAAATCAAACCCGCAAAATTATAATTTGCGTAATTACTGGTGGTAGGACCTCTTGTGAGTCCGCGTGGGTAGGTACCACCACCCCGCTTATTTCTGCCGTGAAGCAGTGATGCGTTTCGGTTTGAAGGGTGAGGCAGCCGTTGTAACTAAACTCGAGACCTTAGAACTTATATCTCATGGTGGCATGGGCGCATTTACGTTGTAGATGTCTATGGGCTCCAGTAACCACTTAACACCAGGTGGGCTGTGAGCTCGTCCACTCATCTAAGCAATAAAAGATTTTTTTTTTTTTTTTTCAGATGGCTTACAAAAATATGTAATAAATAATGTACAAGAGAGTACCTTAATTGGATATAATAATAAAAGTTATGATAGTAAGTACCCGAACATTTTTGTATATCCATTACTTTTATTAATTGAAGTCATTTATAATAACAAGATAAATGTAATCTTAGACGGCTATAATTGAGGGGACTGAGCTCTGGAGGTTAGGGATTATTTTAAAACACTGACTTCACGGTTAATAATAATATATATTACAAACACTGCACTATTTACAATATTTTATATTTGGATAACGCTAGGATGTTTCACTGTCCGTGTCTAGATGAGAAGTCAGTTGTTATTACAGAAGACGATCAACTGTTATAGTCAAGTCAGTCAGACAAGTCAACGTAAAACATTTAAAGAAACATTCCGATATTCGAAAACTGTCACTTCACATGTGACAAGTGCTGCCTGCCATTACAAAAACATTCAAAGTAATTCAAACTCCAACATGTATGTGGTGTTTTGTATAGATGTTTAACCCCTCTTCTTTATTTTTTAAATTGGGTTAAAATTTTAATACCATTTTGGTGTTAATGTTTCTAATAAGAATCGAAAGTTAATATTTCTATTTAAAAAAAAACTTTTAATGAGCATTTAAATTTCAATACTAAATATGGCAGTTTCTAACCCATTTGCTACGTCAGGCCTCGCTGCAAAGTGTTTGACAGGAAGAATCATGCTGCAGTGCGCACATCACCCATCGTGTATAGGCGCTGTTTTTCAGCCGGTTCTCATGAATTATTCCTTCGTTATCAACGTGTTGGTTATAGTTAAAAAAATTATCTATAAAATTTAATATATATCTAAAATGTGTGGCATTATTTGTGAAATAGATCACTTCAAATTATTATGCCTATTAGAAATGAATTGCCATAACAAGACATGAATCCTACTTAACGCTTCTGATGATAATTGCTTCAAATCTGTTGATAGGTGGGGAATCTTTGGTAAATATTATTACTAATTTCAGCTAACGCCGGTTATAGTGATCGGCATGAGTCAATAATAAGTTAGTTAATAGAGTTAATAATATAAATTCGTGTATTTCTTCCATATCGGTCACCACCCGGGAAAGCCAAATTAGTAGTAAAAACTAAACAACATACTTGTTCTACAAAAGAAAACGGGATATATACCTAGTCAGGTCATAAATTCTGTCACATGTTTAATGTAAAATAATTGAAACAAGTTTATTCATTATGTAACCATTCATATACCAAAATGAACTTAACAAAACATAGATTCTTATGACACTAAAGTTTATTCAAAATGACCTCCGTGATTTTGAATACAGGCCTTCAATCTGCGCGGCCAGTCGTCTATCGCAGCACGAACGAGGTCCATGTCAATATCGGCGGCTGCCTTAATCAAGGATGTCTTGAGTGACTCCAAATTGGGATGAGGCTTTGAGCACGCCTTTTCCTCCAAGTGTTGCCATATCTTGTAATCTAACGGATTCAAATCTGGACTGGAGGAGGGCCAGTCTTCGTGCCGGATGAAGTCGATTTCACGCGCCGCCAGCCAGTCTTGTGTGCTCTTCGCTCTATGAGCTGGCGCCGAATCTTGTTGGAATACCCAGTGCCTGTTATTGAACATGGTATGAGAAACAGGTTCCACAAGGTTCGTCAGGACTGTATTTTGATACACAACTGCATTCGTTTTTACACCTTTCTCACAAAAATGTACCTCTGTTAAGCCCCAATAAGAAACTCCCAACCATACCATGAGCGAGGATGGAAAATGACCTCGTTGGACACGCGGAATACGGTTGCTCGCTTCTTCACTACTGTGTGCGTACACCTTATCATTTTGTTTGTTGTAGCTCTCTTGTACGGTAAAAAATTTTTCATCCGAAAAAAGAATTTCCCGATATTTTTTTCCCGCGTACCGCTTCAACAAAGCGCGGCATCTCTTCAGTCTCAGGTCCATTAGACGAGCATTCAAACGATGTCCTGTTTTTCTTCGATATGCCCGAAACCCTAAGTCTTCATTTAAAACCCTTTTCATCGTGGTTCTGCTTAACCCTATCTGAAGGGCCAACAGTTTCTGCTTACGTTTGGGATTTCTTTGAATTCGCACCTTCACAGCTTTTATCACTGCTGGAGTCTTAACAGACCGAGGGCGACCACTTCTTGACCTGTCATCTACACTAGAGTCTTCATTGTATCGTTTGGTGGTACGATAAACGAATCTTTTGGTTATATTCAAAATTTTCAGTATGTTAAAAATTTGAATTGACGCGTAACCGCAACGATGCAACGCAATAACTGCAACACGGTCTTCTTTAAGCGTCCACTCCATATTTAAAAATGAGTAAAATTCTAAAAGTTATACATTTTTATTTTCATGAACAGTTCGAAATTCGAATTTAATAAACTTTTTTGTGGCCAGCATTCTAAAAGAAAAGTTTTTACTGTGTGACAATACTTATGACCTGACTAGTTATATACGCTATAATACGAGCGACACCCCGAGCAAAACTATTACATATATAAAATTACTAATACATTTTTAAAGCCCAAATTGAAGGACCCGTACCGCTTTCATACTAGGACGCCTCTATCCGATGATTTGCAAGCGAAGTAAATTGTCCTTTCGTAATAAGGTGACAATCAACAAAACTTGCATACACCCTGTCATGACTAGTGGTCGGAGTAGGTAGATTGATTTTGTATACTTGCGTCAAGATATTATAATATGGACCTGCCATTTTATCCATAATGGGGAAGTAACGGGAAAAGTTCCGGGATTTGAACTATGGACTAAAATAAAATAAAAAAAACATACAGATAGGCTAACAAAATCTTTTATTATTAATACAATGAACAATTATTTTTAATTAAACAAAAACATAAATAAATTATTTTTAATCCTCATCGGATACAATTTCTATATTTAAAAATGTTTACATTATGCTTTAAGAAAAGGCCTAAAACGTACTTAAGAAAATTATTAAAGCTTACCTGAACCAAAATAACTTGAAGTAGAGATCCAATCTGAAAACAAATCGATGTCTGTAGATACAAGCCAAATTCGTCTTTTTAAGAAGGTACCAGAAATCATTACCAAGCCAGGGTGAGATTATTATTTACACAACACCTTAAGCTTCTTGAGATCCGCCGTCGCGCGGGGGCCAGGGAGGCGGATCTCGCCCAAGCCCTGGCCCACTGTTTCGGGTCCCCCTCACATGTCGGTCTGGGGACCGGCGAGGGGGGCCTAAGAAGACGACGTGCAAGCTGATCTCCACGCGTTTTACGCAAGAGCATGGAAGGCCAGCTATTCTCGACCCACGCTTGTTCTGGCCCAGTGGGGTATTCCGTAGGATAACTCACTTTAACCGGCGCCATCTAGGCGGGCTTCGGACAGCCTGCCGACCGAGAGGGCTGGTGGTCGTGGCGCCGACGATCGCTGGTCCGTCGGCGTCCTGAGGGGAAGGGTGATGGGAGAAATGTGCTCCGCACTAAACGCTTCACTTTCCCCCTTTGCCTTTTCATGAGTTCTGTCTCATGCGAGGTTTGGATGCTGGTTGTTGAGCGACAGGAGGTTTTAGTAAGTTCGACTCTGAGATGGACCGCCCACCATCCCCAGTGGAGGGCGGAAGTCCGGAGATTTCCTCCTGACCAAAAAAAAAAACTTGAGATGTCATTGCTGCCCGCGTCAAGTTTATAAATATCTGCAAATTTACATGCATACATTTCCTTTTTACTCTTATTTTTTATTGCTTAGATGGGTGGACGAGCTCACAGCTCACCTGGTGTTAAGTGGTTACTGGAGCCCATAGACATCCACAACGTAAATGCGCCACCCACCTTGAGATATAAGTTCTAAAGTCTTAGGTATAGTTACAACGGCTGCCCCACCCTTCAAACCGAAACGCATAACTGCTTCACGGCAGAAATAGGCAAGGCGGTGGTACCTACCCGTGCGGACTCACAAGAGGTCCTACCACCAGTAAAAACTTACTATTTGGTCAGTTTTACATACATATTTATATTCTTTGCTGTATGAAAAATGGAGCATAATGAAATATCCCTTTGTTTGGACTTGTTATTATTTGGGATGAAATTAAATGTAATGGAGTGGAATGAGAAACATGATCAAATGAATTAATGTTCTAGTAAAATCATAGAAGTTTACTAAGAATTGGGCTTTTTGGAAGAACCCTAGAAGCCACATCCAGCTGCCATATTGTGCATTGATATACATGCTAAACTTCTAATAAACTACCATTGCTACCAGTTTGAACCAGAAGAAACACTAAATTAGCACCATCACAGAATTTCGTTCTAGGCATTTCCGTCAAAAAAACAAGACATAAATTCTCTTAGAATAGTTAAAAACCAAATGTTGAAGATTGTTATTTTTGTAGCATAACATACATCAACAGTGTGAAGTTTGTTAGTGCTATAAAATTTGCTATATCCATTAATTTGAAGTAGTATTATTATTAACATGCATTACGGCACTGCTTCACTGCTGTCCTCGATAGCCTGTCTCAGTGCTAAGCTGTGTACGAATATTAAATAATATTCTGGCAACCCCATCTAATGTGACGCAGGAACATGTTAGTGTTGACGTCATTCGTGGGTAGCATTTCTGTATTCAATGATATTAAACGGTGAAAGTTATTATGTAAATAAAGTTACTAAAGTAAATTAATCGTAATGCAACGAAAAAAATATCGTTGGTGTGTAGTACCCCAATGTAGGAATACTTCTAAATCTTCTCCAAATAAATTATTCATTGATGTACCGCGTAAAGCAGATATAAGAAGAAAATGGTTAGACCTAGCAAGGCGAAACCACCAAAATATGTCTGTGACTTCACCTGTCTACTTTTGTGAAGATCACTTCGATGTAAGTGTTGAATTCATCATATGAATGACCTCTGTTAATTTTGAGTATTACGACCACTGATGCTGTAGTCAATTGAGTTCATGAAAATATATATCGGCAAGACCTAAATAATAAATATTTACGTACGATATTTGTAGGTTATTATTACAAGTGCCTGAATTATTTGTATTTTAGCTGCCAAACGACATGGAAAACTACATGCGATATCATGTAATGGGCTATGTAAAAAAAATTACTCTGAAACCTGGATGTCTTCCTTCGAAATTTCATTGTCAAACTGATAGAGTAAAAACTAAGCCATCAAAATATTCATCTCATATCACTGCTGTCACAAACCAAATATTGACAGTAATACAAGAAGCTCTAGAAGAAAGTAAATTGCAGAGTAGTAAAGAACAATCAATTGTTCGTAAGTATTTATTTGAATAGAAACTCGAACTTATTTATTCTGAAACATTAACAAAACGTATGTACTTTAAAAAAAATTAAAGTCAGGGGTCTGCTAACTGCATCTTTAAGTATGTTGATTAGCTATTAATAAAAATCCCAAACTATAATTCAACGAAACAAGCAAAGTAAATAAAAGGCATCTGAGTTCCAAGATTGAACTGGGCTGTTCCACAGTTAATATTGTAGAAACTTTAGATTGATTTTTGTGTTTCATTATTGTAAATCAAAGCTTAATCAAATCAAATTTAATTCAATGATACATCGACTAAAATGTTTAGAATTTTTTGCAATTATTTCGATAAGTATTTTAAATACATTTAATTCAATAAACTTTTAGTTTAGTTGTTGATGAGAGGTGTGGATCCATCTGATGTGACTCCTCAGAGGCTGGCTTTCCTTTGTCACTTCTGATTAGCATGGCTGGTAGTAACGACTTTGCTTTGTGTCATTGTAATTGTTTTATATCTTCTATCACCATCTAGCACATCTACTATCAATATGTTTTTCTAAGCTTAAGACTATTTAAGAAATACATTTTACTACATTGCTCGCATGCTGAAGCCTATTTGTTAAGGCAGATACTTTGAAACTCTGTGTAGTATACAGATTTTTCATGGGAAGTATATTGAGGGATTTTTGGAAATTTTTATCCCAATATTTCCATATTACTATCACACTGATAAATTAACACTTCAACTACTACCTGCAACTGCTCTATGCATTTCAAGAGACTATTTTTTTTTCATACAACCATTATGTTCTAGAATGAACACTTCATTTACCTGACTTCTATAAAGTTTGCTGTGTATCATTAAACAGTCCCATTACTCTGTAGAATTTTTGTTTTACCTGAGGTGGTAATTCAGTACAGATTCAGAGCTTAGGGGTCTTGATCAGTACTTATTACATTAGTACTTATTGTATTTTTTATATTTATTTCTTCGTTAGAATCAAAGTCTTTGTTCAAGATATTTGGCTTTCTGGCTGTACTTTTCTCGTCTAATGTGTCAGTTTCTGGCACTCATAAAACGGATGCATTTCTCACTCATAAAACGGATGCATTTCTCACTCTTGAGTTTCTTAATGGGTAATGTTTTAAATATTTAGTTATTTAAATATGGTGCACTGAAATGAGTTACTGCATGGAAATAACAAGCTATGCAACACTTTCTTACATACTTTAATACATTTATTTTCACTTTACTTTCTAAAACTGTGTTTCTCCAGGCCTTTGATTTTTTATTGCTTTGATTAACCATCTAAGCTATAAAAATAAATAAATAAAACTTCATGTGAATATACCATGCGCTTTATCCTTTATACATATAAGGTACTGACTCTTTACAATCGGAATTTTTCTTCCTTAAGAGTAAATTTATGTAATGTAAAACATTTTCACTAAGAGTGCATGGAAAGATTGATAATGATATTTTAGAAAATTAATTGAACACAAACTACGGTCTGTAACCTTTTTAGGAGCTTTAACTGGCTGGTCTTTGATAAACGGCGCAATGGCGTAAGAATTTGTTATTCTAAAAAAACACCGACATGAGACCTGGACTTAGAGTCCATCAGTAAGTATCTTCAGTCGGCGTCGATGTGCCACTTCGATAAAGCGGCACGACACGAGAACCCTCTCATCGTCGCCGCCAGTAACTACATTCCCGATCCTGCGGACAGAATGGAAAGCAGTCGACGTTGCCCCAAACACGTCATTTCGGATCCTCCCGATCCACTAACAGTGCTTTTATGTACCTCAAGCACCGGTCATCGTTCTCGCCGAACCCGTCGCTTGCGACGAAGGGCTCGACGAATAAATTAACCCTCAGACACAGCCCATTGAGTTTCTCGCCTGATCTTCTCAGTGGGTCGCGTTTCCGATCCGGTGGTAGATTCTGCGAAGCACGGCTCTTGCTAGGGTTCGTGTTAGCAACGTCATCAGGTTTGAGCCCCGTGAGCTCACCTACTAATTAAGGTTACGCTGAAATAGCCTATCAAGGCTCTCAGCTAGGAAGGAAAAAAAAAGCCGACATGAACATGGCGGAACGCGGGGTGACCTCTCCAGAGAACTATTCTTTCAATAAACATTGGTAATAACGTAACAGAACATTAATAGGCAACGGCATTTAAAAAATAAATATCATCCAGACTCTTATTACTTAAACTTATTTAAATATTAAAAATCGGTTTGTTTATTTATTCTTTGTTTCACGTCGAATTAACATGATTTTGAAGCTAGGAGAGTTATATAGCTACCTTTTATCCCTTAAAAGACATCTCATTCCTACCAGAAACTACACTGCCACTTTTCCTTGACCACGCCGCTGTAATACCAAGTATTATAATGTTAATTGCCACACAAACTTGCCCAAGTGACCAAATATGATGTCATGTGGCGCAGGAAGATAAGGCCACAGTCTGATTTGTATAAAAATGAGGTCAAAGTCAACATTTCCTTGTATATCGTCCGAATCAATCTTAAAAGTGGGACGCACTTCTGTGTCGCGGTAGAAAAAAGCAGGTCGGTGATTATCCAAGGTTTTCTGAACTTATAATACGCCAAAAATTATAATAATATAACAATTTATAAATGTTGAGAGTTTTTTTCTATGTTAATTCTTCATCATAGATTCATCGATCGTGAGGGCATTAGGTACTTTTTAATAGGAATAATTTGATTATTGCCGGCGGGATTTCAACACCGGCAATTTTTATTTATTTCATATGTGTGGACGAGCTCATAGCCCATCTGGTGATAAGTGGTTACCGGAGCCCATATACATCTACAACGTGAATGTCGCCAACCACCTGGAGATATGAGTTCTAAACTTCTAAGGTCTCATAGTTACAACGACTGTCCCACCATTTACTAATATACTACTAATTACGCTAATTATAATTATGCGAGTTTGATTTTTATTACACGATGTTATTCCTTCACCGTGGAAGTCAATCGTGAACATTTGTTAGGTATGTATTTAATTACAAAAACTGGTACCCGCCTACGGGATTCGAACACCGTTGCATCGTTCAAAACGAATGCACTGGACGTCTTATCTTTTAGGCCACGACGACTTCTGAGTTTGCATCACTATACGAGTTTATCGGACGCCTTACGCCGCGGCGGCATTTTTTTGTCAAGAAAGCGTACAGTGTATTTAACATTGTCATTTACAGAATATGTTCATAAAACATATTCGTGGAACTGCCAATTACATCTTTGTATGGGATCCAGATATTACCAATAGTTTAAATTAATACGTTAGGCATTAGAAATATAATAGGAAATAGAATGGAATAGATGTATCTTTTCGCTTGTGTATACACTGAATTTTATAAGCATCCAATAATTGAGTCGACTATTATCAAAGCCGGCAATGTGACTTTTGGACAATTATGGTAAATCAGAAAAACGAATTATTGACTTTGTATTCCATTGGCAGTCACAAAACTCTTCTGAACGACATCTTAGATAAATAACAGGTTAAGTATTAACCTTTATTTAATGCAGGTTTTGAACCGTATTCTTTGAAGGAGACGATTATATTCAAATCAATCTGTATTGACATATCAATAACATGTTTTTGTCCAAATGCACAGATTGCCACCTTTGATAATAGACGACTCAATTATACCTTTAAATACAAAACTATATAATAAGTATTAATTATGATCTGTAACATAACCATGATATTTATATATTCCATAGTTTATTTAATCAATTATTTTGCAAAATTTGTATTTTGTATAATATTAATTTATGTATTGTGTGTATTTATATAGTAGATACATACCTATATTTATATTATAGATATAGGTACTAACTACTAGCTTACAATTTCATTAATTTACAAGAAATATAATTGAACCTAATGTTAATTGCACCTTGCATAGCAGTCCACCTTAGACTTTTCTCACTGCGTTTTTACTATAGATCAATAGTTTATTGGAAGAGATCGCTTTTTGTGCGGTGTGAACGACATTTGTAATTTCGCATTATTATTGTTTTCGTATTGTATGATCTTGATTTGAAATCTTTCAATTTTAACGGTAAATTTAAAAATAAGTGTGGGGTTAGCTCAAAGTAAATAACAGTTTTTTTGAAAAGTAACTAAATTTAATATCACACACGTAAAATGTTCACACACTTATTGCCCGATCGCCATTTTCTTTTGTTCTCCGTCCCTTTCTTCCTCATACATTCATCCCTTTCACTCTAAACGTTCCGTTTCCCACATTAGTATGTTATTAAAATGATAAATTTTCAATTAGATATCCAGAATAATACTATATTGGACAGCTGCAAATGTCGAATGATTCGGTCGTTGGCTTCAGAATTGATACACGGAATGAAACCGGATAGCGAAATCTGGGCGAATATGAAGACGCACCTCGAAAGCAACAAATTGCTGTGGTAAGTGATTGCGGATTGTGTACTTGTGATAAAGCTGTACCAGTCGACTGTCGCGGTAGATATCATTATGCCGGCCACTCATGTGAAGGGCCGTGAAACATTCATTCGCAAACTTAGCGGCTGTGCAAATGGGTTCGGTACTCAATTTGCGAACCCGTTTGCGCTTCCTCCTACACTTGTTTACGAATGTCTCACGATTTTCTCCTCCTTTTTAATTCGTCAATAGAGCATTGAAGAGAAAAAGAGTTTTGAATTCTTTCCCAGACATCATTAACAGCCATGCTGTTTTTATGGGATTTCTTTTTGATGAAGATACGCTACACAGTAGACGTCACGCTCTATGAAAATAGCGAAACGTCCGTTGCCTTCGCAATCCTGGGCGCAACTGGTCACACGTATGTGTGGGAAACTACGCGAAGGATCGCGGTTCGCGCGCTTTGATGTCTGTTAAAAAACCGACGCAGCTTGGAAAACCACGAATGCAGCGTAAACTTTGCATAATCATTTGCAAATGACGTCCTACACTTGCGGGCTTGCGTATTCGTGCGAATGTGAGTGACCGGTATTAGAACAAGGCACGAAACGGTTTTCTTAGTGCGAGTTTTTTAACGTTCTCGATAGCGTAAAAGTTAACTCGAATTTGTATGGAGTTGGAACGTTTGCCTACGTTTGCCGATAGGGGCGCTGTTTACACTAAGCACACAGTACTTGAATTACCACCAAAAAAAATATATATATATTTAAATAAAAACCTCGCTTACAACACTGTAACAGATTGCGGAGCCTTGTTGTTCCTTTATTGACTTATTGATTTAGATCCGGATCCGTAAAAGTATTTGCGCAAGAGAATCCTGTCTACTGTATGCGCACGAGTTGATGTCCATCGGGGCCAGAGGCGACGCGCAGGGGACAGCTCGCCCCCACCTTCGCCCGCCTCCCCGCATTTGTCTGACGCTGAGTGTTGTCCTTGACGGTTGTCACGCGTGCTTATCGATATCGAAATTTTACGCTAACGCTATTGTGTATTTAACCATGACTACTCCGCTTCCAACAAGTTCAGATAGAAAAAAACCTACTGAAAAAAGATACATACTGATTTCGACTCTGATCTGTCGGTTGTCTTTTCATTTGATAGTGATTGAATTGGAATTTAAAAAATATTTTTCTCTCTGTTGACTAACTCGGTAGTTATTATCGACATTACCATAATTAACTAGGTCACAGCACTACCGCATTCCTCAGGATGGACATGTACTCGCACGCCTACTGTAGATCTGGTTGGGACACCCACGGACATCTAACGTTCTTAGCAATTTGTTAACAGGGACCACATGAAAACCGTAGTACTGAACAAACTGAAGAAGCTTTACTCGGCAGAAGATAAGAACGAAAACTTGCCGGCTAACGATCGAATGTCGCAGGCGGATTGGCTATTATTCGACTTTGCTCTCGTCCACGAGAAAATAGACCTTATAGAAAGAGTAAGTTGGCCGAATATCATAAAAACAAATTACATTACTATTACAATTATAATTACAATTAATGTTAATGTTTTATGTATGTTTATTTANAAGCTTTACGCGGCAGAAGATAAGAACGAAAACTTGCCGGCTAACGATCGAATGTCGCAGGCGGATTGGCTATTATTCGACTTTGCTCTCGTCCACGAGAAAATAGACCTTATAGAAAGAGTAAGTTGGCCGAATATCATAAAAACAAATTACATTACTATTACAATTATAATTACAATTAATGTTAATGTTTTATGTATGTTTATTTATATGTATTTTTCATTTTATATTAGATTTTTTCTTTTTTTTTTAAACCTTAGTTTAAAAATCATGCTTTAATTCCTTTTATATAGTACACTATTCCCCCCTTATACATCGTATTTCTCTCTGCTAATGGTTTGCTGGAAGAAAACTCATGAATGAGTTAAGCTCGCCTTTGTACATAGTATTTAGACATTCTTTAAATCTGTTTTTTATTGTATTTTCTTTTTGTGTACAATAAGTATAAATAAATAAATAAAATAAATACAATTCCATATTCCCATTTTTTTATTATATGTCAAATCTTGTAACGCATGTTTTCGAGTGTAATAATTATTAATAATAATGATGACGTTTTGAGGTCGATTATATACAGAGTAAATCGTATTTTGGTACTCACGATACAGGCTATTCTCGTGTGAGGATCATTGGTTAATATATTATTGTTGATGCAATTTGCGTAATCTCTCAACTTGTTAAATATGTAAATAGTATTCTACGTCATGATTTAAGAGTTTATGTAGTAAATAAATTATTATTAATTATTATAAAAAGGAACGTTTTCAATCGAAAACATTTGAATATCATTTTTTTATTTATTTAAATAACTAACGCGCCATTACTTGCCATTAACATACATGTGCCTTTGTACATAATTTTCCTATTACTCTGTACTATGTCTTTTTTTTCTGTGTGTACATAAATAAATAAATAAAAAATTAAATTCGTACTATAGGCACTTTGAAGAAATACGTGTTGTAAAAGTGGATTTTAAGTATTGAAATAGGAGAATTTTCAGTAACGTTCTTTGAGTATTTCGGTGCAAAAGGCTAACCGACCTTTACTGAATGGCGGCGAGAGGCCTTTACTGAATGTGAGCCAGCACGGGTTGGTAACAACACCATTCCAAACATCAGCGGTAGGCAGCGGCTTGACTCTGCCCCTGGCATTGCTGAAGTCCATGGGCGACGGTAACCACTCACCAGGAGCTGGGCCGTATGCTCGTCTGCCTACAAGGGCAATAATAATAATAATAATAAAATCTGCCGATTTGTGTCTCAAAGCACAAGCATGCGTTCAGAGTTGAATGATGGGTCAGTCGTTAAATAATATAATAGAGACTACGATCTCTAAGTGGGTAGCGGTATTGACGCTGTGATGTCTATGGGCTTCGACGACACATTCTCATTCAAGCAATAGAACGTCGTGATATCTCACTTTCAGGATGGTATGAGATGTCAAACTCAGGATCGTCAGCCGTTGATTGATCTCTTCGAGCTGGTGACGAAGTTTGACATAGAGGACAGGTCCGGAGACAGTCTGGCCGGCGCCTGGACTGCGGCCACCGCCCTCTACAACTCGAGGTAATAATTTTCAATTGCATATATGAAGGAACGAGCCCATGAACGTGGCGTTAAGACATAACCAGAGTACGGGGATGGAATGTAAATTTTTTTTTAATGACCTTGTAAGCAGACGAGCATACGGCCCACCTGACGGTGAGTGGTGACCGTCGCCCATGGACTTCAGCAATGCCAGGGGCAGAGCCAAGCCGCTGTCTACCGCAATGCCTGCACTCACCTTGAACCGTGAGTCGCAACACTCGTATAGAGTAGACCACTGGTTTACTGGTGGTAGGACCTCTTGTGAGTCCGCGCGGGTAGGTACCACCACCCCTGCTTATTTCTGCCGTGAAGCAGTAATGCGTTTCGGTTTGAATTGTGGGGCAGCCGTTGTAACTATACTGAGACCTTAAAACTTATATCTCAAGATGGGTGGCGCGTTTACGTTGTAGTTATCTATGGGCTTCAGTAACCACTTAACACCAGGTGGGCTGTGAGCTAGTCCACCCATATAAGCAATAAATAAAAAAGACCAGGTGATCTGAGACAGAGTTGAGGAACTGAGTCTTGCAGAATTTTTAGCGAATGTTACCATGCCTTAAAGTGCCCAAAATATAACAGTTTCTGACATTTTACATACCTGCTCGCTGTAACCGTATAATTGTATTGCCTTAAATGAATCGTTCCTTTACAGGGGTCATCAGTGCTCACCGATGCTACTGCAGAAGCGTTGGTATCAGCTGAAGGAGGTGACCAGGGAATCGCTATATGAGTACTGGTACGCCTCCCGCGAGAACTCTCCTTCGTCGGCCGAGTCTATACAAAGACCAACCAAATTACAGAGAGCCGTAGCCCAGAAGTAAGTTTACATCTTCAAAGTTCATTTCGAAATTAAAACATTTAGGGGGAGAATTTGTCTTCATCAACGATTGGGGGTTTGAAAGATATTGATTTGTATGAGAGTTGAGTGAGTATTATTTTAAAGTTAAATGCGTAATAGACAGTAATACGCAAGCAAGAAAGTAATCTAAAGTAATAAAAGAAACATTATATTAACAACTAGCGACCCGCCCTCGCTTCGCTTCGGAAACATTAAAACACACATGAAACCAAAAAAAAAAAAAAAATTAATAAAAAATAAAAAAAAGTAGCCTATGTTCATCAGGGACAATGTCGGCTTCTAATGGAAAAAGAATTTTTCAAATCGGTCCAGTAGTTTCGGAGCCTATTCGAAACAAACAAACAAACAAATCTTTCCTCTTTATATTTATTAATTAATTAATAATTAATAATTAATTAATTATTTAATTAACAATTAACAACTAGCGACCCGCCCTCGCTTCGCTTCGGAAACATGAAATTTTATTATTGTTTATTTACGACATCACATTAGAAACCTCAAAAATAACAGTATTTCTCCACTATTTAATGGATGTTATCTTCTTCTTCTCTATATATAAAAAATAATTGCTGTTCGTTAGTCTCGCTAAAACTCGAGAGCGGCTGGACCGATTTGGCTAATTTTGGTCTTGAATTATTTGTGGAGGTCCAGAGAAGGTTTAAATAAATGAATGAAAATGCTCGAAATTAAATAAAAATAACAATTTTGTTTTTCCTTTGATGTCCCCCCCATCCTTTTGTCTTTTATTTATCGATTGAGGCACTACGAAGTCTGCCGGGTCAGCTAGTTATACATATAAACTTTCCTCTTTAATCACTATGTATTAAAAAAAACCGCATCAAAATCCGTTGCGTAGTTTTAAAGATTTAAGCATACATAGGGATATAGGGACAGAGAAAGCGACTTTGTTTTATACTATGTAGTGATTAACATAACTTCAAGTCTCGCGTTCCCCCCGCCAATAGATAGCGCGAACGTTGCCATTGTTATTTATTGTGTTTCTTAAATTTATAGGGAAATATATTGACGATCCTTATCACGCATAACGTTTGGAGATATTAGTAGCTCACACCTAGGTGTGGACAGAGGGGTTGTTTATGTCATGTGTTGTACCGTAATTTCCATAAGGAGTTTTCGAAGGAACTATTTAATTATCTTTAATGTCCCGCTATTAAAAGAGTTGATCCCTAACACCTGCAACTGGATAGAGTGCTCATTATTGCCCCAAAACATGGACCTCTGAAGCTAACTCACCTCAAATGCGTTGATTTTCAAACAAGTCCACAAGGATTGGCTATGTCCCCGGCATTGTCTATGTTAAGGTGCAACTGCAATAATGTTGGTCCTCGGGCAATCACTGGAATGTTCTATTCCAGATACCCGTCAATAATAACGAGCGCGTTTCCGGAATGGCGGGAACTGATCGAGAACAGACTTGTAGTAATGTCTGAAGACCTCGTAAGTCCGAAATCTTAGTACATATCTGTTGTTAACTGTGTCTGTTAACTTTAGTTTATACGCTAACTAAACATAATATTGTTACGCGCTGGGGTTCGGGATAAATAAAACTTTCACCGAAGTACAAATAATTTTAGGCGTTTTAAGTGTTAAATAGACTTTTAAATAGACTTTTAATAATTAAAACGCCTTAGGGACACTACAATTCGCACTTCACTTCTTCCGCTTCGCTGCCTTTTTTTTTNCTGTGTCTGTTAACTTTAGTTTATACGCTAACTAAACATAATATTGTTACGCGCTGGGGTTCGGGATAAATAAAACTTTCACCGAAGTACAAATAATTTTAGGCGTTTTAAGTGTTAAATAGACTTTTAAATAGACTTTTAATAATTAAAACGCCTTAGGGACACTACAATTCGCACTTCACTTCTTCCGCTTCGCTGCCTTTTTTTTTTCGGGCCGTGGTTGATCCTCCTACGAAGTCCCCGCGCCTAGGGGACGCGCGGGGTATGTGGGACTTAACGATCTGCAAGGTGTTGGGAGCAGACTGCAGGTCCAAGGAATTTTAGGGCCCTACCCACTAAACGACTCCCCTGCACTCTTACACCCGACGTCCGATATCCGTCCGGGGTCAAAACCCGGTCAGAGCAGGGGGGTCCCCGCGGTCAACACTTCAACCAGACACGCGGCGCCGTTAGAGCCGTTCCAGCTCCATAAAAATTTGAGTTAACTCTTACGCTATCGAGAACGTTAAAATACTCGAACTAAGCACATGATGATCCGTTCGCTGTTTCGTTTCGAGTAAAACCGATTACTAACTGCTTCGTGTCATCTTTGCAACGCTTCTACTGTCGATACAACAACTCTACAATTATCGAGAACATTCCAGATGTGACGGGTCGGTTCGATATTTGTTTCCGCTATTTGATAATAGATGGCATTACACTTCTCGATTGTTCTCGATATTACTAGTTCTTTTGATCTTCGTTACTACTATTTGACGACAGATGGCGTTACTCTTACCGGAGTAACAATATTGTTTAAATTATAGTGTTTAAGACATCCGCGTCGTATACTTATTTAACATTTACTATTTAACTTCGCTTTTAATTGGATTTTCGCGCCCAGTCACTGCTCTTAACCTAAATTTTAAAATCGCTTACCATTATGTATCACTTGAACGATGAAATTTGTTTGTATTCACTATCTACTGTCTGCACAATTTTTGCATCTACTTATGTCACATATGTCACATAGATCTAAATAATCTGATAAAGTGGTACATTTTATTTATTAATAACTACACTCATAGCGACCTCTGTATTGGCTGGCTGAGACATGATCGGTGTTAGTAACAAATAATACTACGTATACAGATCTTATCAGTTTAAGTTAAATTCACAGGAAAGGAATAATTGGATGAGCAACGCGAAATCTCCGATAGACACTGGCAAGTTTATTTACACTTCATTATATATTCAACTAGATGACTCGGTGAACTTCGTGTCACCTACATAATATTTATTTTGTATAAAATATCATATAACTTTTTTTACCTACATAATTAAAAGCAACACTGTTCTACACTTAATAAATTTAAAGCTTTTTGATATACCATATTTTTTTGCGTAAATTTATAAAGATTATGGTTTTCGGACTCGCGAACACGCGACCTATAAGCCAGACGGGGAAACTCAAGTTGATTCCGCAAACTTGCAACTGCGATTTATTTATGGTGATTGCAAAGACCAGACGCATGGGAAATTGTAGACTCTTAAAATCAAATAACAATCAATTACAAAATACCAACTAACATTCTAATTTTTTCTTCCAGAATCTAAACCAGACTTAGAAGTCGTTGAACCTTTCATAGAAACGATAGATGTGGACCAAGATTTGGACAACGAAACAAGGAAGCACAGGAGAAGAAGCGAAGAGAACACTGAAACCAATGGAATGATTATTGAAATAAAATCCGAACCTAGAGATTTTGAAGATCTGATTGACTCATTACAAAATACCGAAATACCATTACACACTGGCAAAACAGGAAAAATGATCGAAAATGAAACATGCAATAATGTTTCTGGTGAAGATGTGGTAAAGACCGAAAATTATAGAAATATTTCTCCCATTCTCGATCACCTTCGCGACACGACCCAAAATTCAAATGAAACAGAAGCCAAATTGAATATCGATATAGTACCGAAAATTGCTGGTGTCTACGGCAACGTCGATATGTTAAGTAAAATTATAAATTTGCATGATTCTCAAATAAGTACAGAACCAACAGCTACAAAAGTAGTTGAAGATGAATCAATGAGAGGAAATGAAATTGAATTTCACCAAGACGATGCAACTAGCAATGATTCTAATGCAATAAAAGACAGAGGCTTGCAAGACACAAATATAATGTTGAAATGTGAAACAGAAGACCCATCGCATTTGAATATCTTTGATAATGGAATAGAATTTGCTGATAATAAAATTCAGTTTATTGAAAAGGACCATGTAAATACAGGTGATATTTATATTTACACCATTTGTAATTTATTCCACTTCTTTGTTTTTATCATACAAAGTAGATTAACTTAATTATCTATAGAAGTCGTCGTGGCCTAAAGGATAAGACGTCCGGTGCATTCGTATCTAGCGATGGACCGGTGTTCGAATCTCGCAGGCGGGTACCAAGTTTTCTAATAAAATACGTACTTAAGAAATCTTCACGATCGACTTCCGCGGTGAAGGAATAACATCGTGTAATAAAAATCAAACCCGCCAAATTATAATTTGCGTAATTGCTGGTGGTAGGACCGACCTCATGTGAGTCCGCACGGGTAGGTACCACCGCCCTGCCTATTTCTGCCGTGAAGCAGTAATGCGTTTCGGCTTGAAGGGTGGGGCAGCCGTTGTAACTATACTGAGACCTTAGAACTTATATCTCAATGTGGGTGTCGCATTTACGTTGTAAATGTCTATGGGCTCCAGTAACCACATAACACCAGGTGGGCTGTGAGCTCGTCCACACACCCATTTAAGCAATAAAAAAAGTTATTTATGTAATAGGACAAGACGTTATATCGGGAAGATCAATTCTAAACAAAAGATTTGAAGGGTGTTTTCTTTTTTATTAATTTTAATAAACATTTTTCAGAGCTCATCGAATATTGGCAGTGTTTAAAATAATGACAAACCTTTTTTTTAATTCATAATAATTTACTATTGCAGCTTACGCTATTCAGATAAAGAATGAATTCACGTTACCGAATACAAATTGTGAAAATGCAAATAGTACACAAACTTCTGAATTTACCAAGCAACCATTTGTCATAAAGGAAGGCGAAGAGAAAATGTCAAAAAACGAATCGCCTCGTAATGACATAAATAACAAAAGCTCAAAACAACTGAACGTTTCCGAAATCGCTGCTAAACGACCGACTGAGATCAGTAAAGTGATGACTGGAAATAACTCTGATATTAGCAATACAATAAACAACGATTTGTTCGCGGAAAGTAAAACTGCTGAAAAAAATGAGAATAGAACAGACGATAGTATGAAAGTGAAAATGTCTAGTTACTTATTTCATAAACCCCGAAATCGTTCGTATGATCCTACACAGCTTTGCAAGAATCCGGACTTTAACAAGAAGTTGAAAAGATTAACGGATGCATTCTTAAGTTCGCCGCGTAACAGGGTACTGCTCAATGCTTGCAGGCCGATCACTGTTGATGTAATGNATAAACCCCGAAATCGTTCGTATGATCCTACACAGCTTTGCAAGAATCCGGACTTTAACAAGAAGTTGAAAAGATTAACGGATGCATTCTTAAGTTCGCCGCGTAACAGGGTACTGCTCAATGCTTGCAGGCCGATCACTGTTGATGTAATGAAGGCGATTGAATCCAAACTGTTCAACGGTACAGTGTACTTGAAGGACTGCGACCAATTGAACTCGAATGTTCCAGACCGCGGCGCCGTTAGCGACACTGCGACGCGAGTTCCTTCAACAATCGCTTCCCGGAGCTCAACAAATATTCGTTTAGTCAATCCTGATCATTTAATGCCGCTATCGAAATGTAACACATCGAATTTAACACAAGAAAGTTGTGGTGATGCGATGGAGATAAACAGGAAGATCAATCAACCAGATATAACAGAAGTTCCTTGCTCAAATCAAAGTTGGCTGACAATTGAAGTGCCGCCCCTTAGCGTGCGAACTAATAATGAAAGCATAACAACTCCAGAACCCAATTCAACCCTGTCATGTAAAGAAAAAGAAACCGGTATTTCGTCCAAAAAGAAACCAAGAAAAGAATTTTCAATTGTGAATGATGGTTTTCTTACCCTCGACCTCCTCAACAAAATGTTACTGAAAATCGATGAAGAGGAACATTTTTATAATCCTTCCAAAGTAAATTTTGGTACATCGTCTCAGATACTGAAGCCAAACGCAAAAAAATCCATTCTTCAGAAAAACAAAAGTATTCCCAATGTTGAAATACAAATCTGTCCCTGTAGGTCTTCTGCACAAAATACAACAAAAATGGTGTCAGCTGTCGAACTGTTGAGTGAGCGAAATTATTCCGCTGCGAGTGACAGTCCTAACGTTACAGACAACATCGTGGCTGACAGTGAATGTAAAATCGTTGAACCGGTATTCGCGCAGGAACAATATCAGACTTACAAACATGAAATGATAAATACGACATCTAACGTAAAGACTCTAGTGATAGAACCAATCTTCAATCATGTTGCCGAACAATCTAAAAAACTTATGTTTTTGGCTTCGCTTGCGTCTCAACAAACGTTAGATAAATGGAAAGCAATAGATGAAACTTCTTACGTTAATGTAGAAAATAACTACGAGATCGCTGGAAAGATCGTAAAAGTTGACGGAAACTTCAATCTAAATAAAAGTATAAATAATGTTAACCCTCCCCACAGTAGACGCATATTGGGTCAAACACGTAAACCACGTGTAAAAAAATTTAATGATATACTTACATAGTACCCTAACGAGACTGAAATTGTGTTTGATCAGAATACAGTGATGGATGATAATGTAAACATACCAGTTAATAGTTATGGTATATATCCCGGACGTCCATCTGAGAACAAATAATAAACGGTGAATCAACGCGAGAGATCACGCCGATCGTCGAATTGGATACATAAAAAATCAACCCACTACTTGTCGAGTCGACAATACAGAAACAACTCATCGAAAATAGAAGAATTCTTCCTCTATCCCAAACTTGATTTATGAATATATGACAGTATAAATAATAAAGGTGAAAATTTGTGGAATTTTAATCTTGGAGCACTAATGGTGTGAATAATGAATCTAAAACGAAGAAAGCCAAAAATTGAAGTGTGTCTTTCAATAAAAATACTAATGTTGCTGTCCTGGAAGCGAGTGGCACAAGGTTTGTTGATCCTAAAATTAACATTCCTAAGATTGAGAAAGATAATCATAATTTAATTTGATGTATATCAAAATACAGATAAAAATGAACTTTTACTAAAGTACCTGTCCTATGTAAAAGTAGTAACGAGTCACTTATGTGCATTAGCTACTGTTGATGTTGATGATGATGAACTTGAGTGATAATTACAGATTCTGTAGAGAACTCGAAGCTACTTATCATATACTCTGTAATCACTACGAATTGACATCTTAGAAAATTGTGACCTGGAAATTGTGTTCAGTTTTTTTTCATAAAACCTGCGAAATCCGTTCGTGCCGTGTTGGATATAAAGAGTAATAAGTACCTCATAATATTTATGAAATATCATAATGCTCACATTCAATATGATTTTCATTTAATTTAAAACTTGTAAAATACAAAACAGTTTATTTAGATCTGTGTACATAGTTATGTCAATAATAAAGAGAAGCAATATGTAAAATACTTTTAAATTGTGATAATTATATTATATCTAAATATATTAATTTAAGAAACTAATACCACAAGTCAGTATTGGAAATAGGTAAAGTTTAGATGATAATAAATATAAAAAATATTGAAGACCTGGTTTGTTTAATATAAAATATACCAAGCAAAATGCGATATGCTCATCTACCTTCTAAAGCAAAAGCTTACTCTAACAGTTTTTGTTTTTTTTTCCATGTGTTGAATTTTTTTATTTGGGTTTTTGCCCGAGCGACTGTTGTGTATCGTGAGCCTGGATGAGTAGTTACTACCAGCCTGCGACTTCTGCAATAAAGTAATTATGTGTTCATGTATTTTGTAATGAGACTTATATATTATAACTCTATTTCATAATGAATGGTGGAATCTTGTGTGGTGTTGGATGCGTATGTGCTATAATGACTTCAAATGATTGTTTCGCGGTTTTGGCTACATGAGCTAACCATGTTCTCAGATCACCAGTAGATACTAGACAAGGTACGTCCTTCTCTTTAAGTCGATAATCTTCAATGCTTAAGGTCGTGGCTTCTTATAACGATACGAATTTTGAAACGAACATAACTTTGACGTGTCAAAATAGGTGTTGACATTATTCTTGATGATTTGCTTAACTTAACACAATGAAGTAGGAAATCTATGGAAATGAAACGTCAACCAAAATTTCGTGCCACTGTGACGTCATCTGGCCACAAAACATGGCGGCTTTAGTGCTGTACAAAAGATTTCAATGTTATCAGGTTTTATCGATAAACGTTCTTGGCTCATTTTATTTTAAATATTGTTGAGTATTATTTATTTGTATAATTTATACTTTAATGGGAAGTAAGTAGGTATATTCTTATGTGCAAATATGATATGATTTAGATGGGTGAAATCTAAGACAAGTTCGTCCTTCGAATTTGCCAAGTAAACGATATGATTATTTTTAAAAGCTGCTACACTGATTTTATAAAGTTGTCGTTTGCCGCAAAACATAAAGATATGGCGTAGTACAGTGCCTTCTGCCCGTTTCTAGGATGCTGAATGTTATCGTATTTTGAGTACGTGTTTTTCTTAGACTATTACAATCTATTTTAATTGTTTTGCTGACTCTTAAGTCCGTAACACACTACCACAACGCACCTCAAGGAAGGTGCGCCGCACCATTTGAATCACTTTCGCTTGAGAGTGATTCAAATTTTAAACTTATCAAGGGACCGCCTGATAAAAAAAAACACCTACAGAACATTTATTCGTTAATAAAATTACAAATGTCATTCCTTGTGACTTCTTCTCTAAAATCACTTAATTATTAAATATTTAACAAATTTACAATAGTGTTTTACTCACTGCGGAATAAAACTATTTTATTTAAATAGTTCCGAAGAGATTTTGTCGGTAGCCTTTTTCCCGAAATATCTAAACAGAATGTCTAAATATGTTTTGATGACATATTTTAAAGAGGTATTTATGATTAGTGTCATGATCAATAGATTCCGACCGAAAAAAAAGTGTGTGTGTCCGCTCCGACGCACGACTGGAGTTTACTGGATATAAAAAATTAAACGAAACAATACGAGAAATAGTTCTATATTACGACAACACGATACACTACAGATTATTAACAAATTAACGAGACACAAAACAAACGACTAACAAATATATGAAAATACAATAATGAGAGAAACGCGCGATCAGTACGAGGCTTTGTGGCGGACTGCCGGCGCAGCAGCCCGGCGTCACCTGCGATAACGCGGCCGCGCGTTGGCTCCTGATTGGCGCGCGCACGCATCACGCAATCAGGAGCCAATCAGGCGCATAACGCATTTCGTGTGACATGCTAGTACGATTTTGGTCCCCATAATTTTCATACCCCGGGCCTATATATGTAAATCGATTCTAAAGGAGTAAACTCCAAAATGGTGTCCGATTTTTCGGATGAGGGCTCCATAATGAATTTAAATATATATAGGTAATAGTTTTGGGGCATCGACTTTCTTGAGATCCTATAAAATATGTTTTAATTATTATTTTTGTATGTTTTAAGCATGATAAAATTAGAAATTTCATATAAGCAATCATATTAAATCGATACCAAAGTCAATAAATAATGTACAACCCAAAACAGACGGCCGAACTGACGTGACAATGACATTTGGCGCGCTAAACATGGCGGATTTTCGGCCTCATTAGACAGAGATGGAGACATTTACGTATATTCGTGTTTCATTTTATGTACGCACTGAAATACTGTTATATTGTTTTCCTGCGAGTTAAAGTGCTGAGTAAGAACGAGATAGATATATGTTTATGTGTGTGCCTTCAAAATGGGTGCTATTTATATAAGCAATTGTACGTATAGAACAATATGTCGTGTCCCTACTATATAGGTCTATGGCTTAACACCAGTCAGTCGTGTCAAGTGTCTTGAAATGCATAGTACCACTGAAGTAGGAAACCTATGGAAACATGTATATAAATAACGTGTCATGTTGTTTGTCCGCGATGGTCACCTAAACTACGGAACCGATTCTACTTTTTTTTAAATATGTATTTTGTTCCAACTTAGGCCATAGTATGGTTTTTATTTCGATTAATGGTCGCAATATTTATTAATAAACAATAAAATGATTCCTTATGGTCCAGGAGCCAAGTACAATTTCGGTGAATTATTTCCTCTCGAGCGAAACTTCGTAAAATGCATTAGGGACTTATACTATGAATACTCGCGTCCGTCAGCTGCGACTCCGTGGGTGGGGCGGGCATCGAAATAAAAACCATACTATGGCCCAAATTGGAACAAAATACATATTTAAAAAAAAAGTAGAATCGGTTTAGTAGTTTAGGTGACCATCGCGGACAAACAACATGACACGTTATTTATATATATTAAGATTGTTTAATCAAGGAAACATTTATGTTTTTACGCTGTGACACGACAGCAAAAGAAAATAGATTTTTAGTATTTTTTGTTCTTTTTGGTAGAATTCAGTAGATTTTAACCTCCACAAGCAGTAGATTCGTCAAATGAAATCTGGTCACACTGAGTCAAGCAGTAGGTTCGTCAAAGGGACTTTTTGGCGGGAACGCGAGGAGTGAAGTTGTGTATAAAATTTGTTTTATTTTGTCTATTTAGTGTTTCTTCAGGTTCAAATGTGCAATAACGGTGGTTTATTAACTGTTTAATATCTGTGAAAGTGCATAAATGTGGGAAAATGAAACAAAGCCACTGGAAGTAACTTCTCGGGATCCTCCAAAAAGTCCACTAAGAAAATCTCAGTAAATAACCACCATTTTACTGAGATTATATTTCATCCCATACCATCTCATTTCATTTCATTCATTCAATGTGAGAAAATGAAACAAAGCCGCTGGAAGTAACTTCTCGGGATCCTCCAAAAAGTCCACTAAGAAAATCTCAGTAAATAACCACCATTTTACTGAGATTATATTTCATCCCATACCATCTCATCTCATTTCATTTAAGTTCATCCTAGTTGATTAACGTCTCAAATTAATCATCTTCATTTCATTTCATATTAACATTTTTTATAACAATAAGAATATAAATTAAAATAAGACGGGACTTAAAGGTCTTAGTTACCAGGTCCTAGAATCCCTTAAAAAAGATTCGTGAAATGAAATCTGATCGGACTTTTGGCGGGAGCGCGAGATGTGAAGTTGTGCGATTTGTTTTATTTTGTCTATTTAGTGTTTCTTCAGGTTTAAATGTGTAATAACGGTGGTTTATTAACTGTTTAATATCTGTGAGAGTGCATAAATGTGGGAAAATGGAACAAAGCCGTTGGACGTAATTTCTCGGGATCCTCCAAAAAACCTCTTTAAACGACCACCATTTTACTGAAATTATATTTCATTCCATATCATCTCATCTCATTTCAATTAATTTCATCCCAGTTGATTAATGTCTCAAATTCTTCATTTCATTTCACTCCATATTATCATTTTTCATAAAAATATCCCATATCATATCATCTCATTTCATGCCATGCCATGCCATGTTTCATATTAAATTAGTCAGCTTCATTTCATTTTTTAATGTCATATTTCATAAAAAAAATATAATTTATATATAAAAGATTAGGTTGTATGGTGTGATACCTTTGCCTTTCCATTTGGAAAAATAAAACTACTACTACTGAAATCTGATCGCGCTGTCCGTTGGTTGCTGGTGAATAGCTGTACGCGTAAAATTTGTGTCTATAATGTTTTAAAAATGAATATACAAAGTGCATTTATTAATGAAGAAAGTGATGAAAAAATTGTGAAAGAAAATGAGTGAGTACTCTACATACATTTTATTATTACTAGTGGTTCCCTCGTAGTCGATATTCGACTATAGTTAATTAAAATTATAAGTTTGTAAACTATTAAGATTCTATTGCCAAAGACTATTTGGCTAAATTATATTTCTATAATCACAGATTTCGCCAAGACGTGCAGTGTATAGATAAATAATAATAAAGATAAACAATACTTAGTCTGGCCATAAATACTGTTACAAAAGAAAACAAAAAAAATTCTATGGCAAATAACATTTATTACTTTTACAGTGTGTTAGTTTAATACATAAATATAAAACAATTTAAAGTATAAAAAGCTTATTCGAAGTGGTCTCCAAAGGCTGCAATACAGTCCTTTAAACGTTAAGGCCAGTTATCAATAAAAGCACGCACTCTTTCCATGGGAAAATTGTGCACTGCCAATCGTATGGATTCCTTTAGGGACTCCAAATTGTCATGGCGCTTAGAGCAAGCCATACTCTCTAAAACTGACCATAAATCATAATCCAGCGGATTAAGGTCGGGACTAGACGACGGCCTGTCTTCAGCTCTGATGAAGTCCGAAACGTTCGTTTCCAACCAAGACTGCGTAGACCGAGCTTTATGACCTGGCGCCGAGTCTTGCTGGAAGGACCATTCTTGATTATTGAACATGGTGCTGTTAAGGGGCTTCACTACCTTCTCAAGAATGGTATCTTGATACACTTGTGCCGATGTTTTGATACCTTTTTCACAAAAGTATGGCCCAGTCAATCCTTCATAGCTAATACCCCACCAAACCATCACTGAAGTCGGATAGTGCCCACGTTGCACTCTGTAGACTAATTGGGAAGCTTCCTTAGAGCTTTGAGTATAAATACGGTCATTTTGTTTGTTAAAATGTTGCTCAATTGTAAAAATTTTGTCATCCGTAAACCAAATTTTTCTATGACCTCCCTTTGCATACCGCTTCAGTAGTTGTTTCGATTTTACCACCCTATTCTCTTTTAAATTATCAGGTAAGAAATGACCAGTACGTCTCTTATAGGTTGCAAGTCCTAAGTCATCTTTTAAAATACGCGACATGGTTCTAGGTGCTATCGTCATCTCCCGAGATAAAATCTTTTGCTTTCGGACAGGGTTTCTTCGAATTCTTTCCATTACTGCTTTGGCCACCTTTTTCGTACGAACACTACGTGGACGGCCAGATCTTTTTCTGTCACAAACAGAGGAGGTCTCATTGCACCTATTAATTAGCCCGGTACACAAAAATATTACTAATACCAAGTGTATGGAGAGTTTTAAAAATTGCATTTGGCTCCATACCTACTTTGTGTAATGCAATCACAGCGATTCGGTTCCCTTTATCACCCCACTCCATTTTAATATTGCAAAATATTGTACAATGTATTAGCGCCAAAATGAGAGAACTCAATGAGCAATCATATAAAAATGACAGATTCCAAATTCAAATGTAATATTTTGTTTATTTTTAATTGTAACAGTATTTATGACCAGACTAAGTATGATATTATAATATGTATATAAATATACATCGCGTGAAATTCGATAATCAAACTCTTAATATCGTTCTTTTTGTTAAAATTTTTTAATGAATATTTTTTTGGTGTGTAATTAATTAATTAGTAATTACACCATTTATACCTAATTATTTATACTTGACTATCTTCGTTTTATAGAGAAGAAAATCTTAAAGAGCTAAAAAGAAAAAGAAAATGTGAACGTCAAAGAGCATATTATCACCGTCAGAAAGATTTGAAGAAAAATGAAGAAAAAAAAAAAAGAAAAAAAGTACCAAAAACAAATGCTGAACGTCAAAGGGAATTTCGTCAACGTAAAGCAGAAAAATCCTACGTGGATATGTAATTTGATTTAATAATATATAAAAACAAATTGTAGTATATGCCTCAATCTTATTTAACTTTACGATTTCCTCATTTTTTTCATAGGAAAAGACGAAAATTGTGCAGTAATGAAGAGAATGTCGTGCAATGTAGGGCTGTTGAAAATACAGAAAATGTAACGCTACAGGAAAATCAATTTCACAGCCAACAACTTCATATTTATGAACAGCGTAATGAATGCATTACTTCCGAAGATATTCTACATAGGAACACAGGAATTCCTGACGATGGCGATTGTCTATTCCACTCGCTCATAAGTGTTTTGCAACTTCAAATTGAGAGTTGTGAATTGAGAAATCAGTTACGCGATTCACCCTATTTAAACTCCTGCCACAATCCGCAAGAAGCATATAAGATTCTATCAAGCAGTAATGATTACGGAGATTTGGATTGTTTGTACTTATTTTCAAAAATGTACAATCAAAATGTTTGTGTACATTATTGTTTTTACAACATAACTACAAAGAATGAAGACACTATCTTTTGGCATTTTAGAGCGAATGATGCACAAAACTGGATTCATCTTCATCTTCGTGAACAACATTTCACACCTTTTTATGAAGTATCAGATTTATTGAAGCCAATAAAAGACGCTACCCAAAATGAAGCCCATGTTGATGCCAATATTCAACTATTGCGTTATAATTATGATGAAGATGCTACCGAAGACAACCATAACAATCATGAAAATGAAATTGAGATTGATAGAGAAGATCGAATTGGTGAAAATATTATGGATTTTATTGTTGATGGTACTACTCCAGTTTACACAAATTATCGTAAACACAGCACAAGTCATATTGATTTTTATAAAGACTTTACGAGTAATTCATTTGGTCATTCTTGCATTATTTGCGACAGACTATGGTGGAAAAGAGACTTGAAAATGTCGACCAGTAAACATGAGAGTATTTTGAAAACAATCCTGCAGGTAATCTTAATTATACAGTTTTTTTTTAATTATTAACTTTATATTTTGTTTCTATATCTAGATAATATGAATTGGATTTTTTTAGAATTATATCCCTGGTGAAATAGTTCAAGTCTGCTATACGTGCTATACATCTTTGGAAAAAGAAAAAATTCCTCTCATGTCAACCTACAATGGTTTTGCATATCCGAAAATTCCATCACATTTACCAACGTTAAACCTTATCGAGCAACGATTGATTTCACCGAGACTAGCGTTCATGCAAATTCGTAGGCTGAGACACGTTAATGATCAGTACGGTATTTACGCCCAGATAATTAATGTTCCTATCGAAGTCGATACAATGGTGAAACAATTGCCAAGAAACATTCAAGACGACCATTGCTTTTATGTGCATTTGAAAAAGAAGTTGATTCACAAAACTAGTCATGTCCATGGGCTTATTAATAAGAGCCATATTGAAGAGTGGTTGTCGTATTTAGTATCTACGCCTCTTTATATTTATCATGACATTAAAATCGATGATTCTTTTTTTACCGACAATGGATGTACTTCGCAATTGAATATGGACGAAATAAGTGAACACGTGCCAATTGAAGACAATTTAGTTGCGCAGCAACAAACTCTTTTGTGGAATGATGATTATTTTTTGAGTCTAGCACCCGGTGAATATAACGGTATTTCAATGGATGAACATGCGGAAGAATTATCTTTTCCGACAATCTACGGCGGTCAATTTCGAACATATAGAGATGGTGTTACTGTTACTTCATTCATGCAAGCTACCAGCGAACTCCGGCGTACTGATAGGCGCGCTACTGACCCACAACACCTCTTATACATCGCTGCTAAAATCATGAGGTTGCGAGTTAGTGGATGTGTCAACGTTGCGTTTAAGCATGTCGGACAAGGTACTTCAATTACGAAAGACACCATTGAATCTGAAGAATATATAAATAATTGTTTAGAAACAAATCTCGCATTCCTTCGCTGCATACCAAATTCCGCTTGGTTTTGGTCAGATCGTAAAAAAGATCTTTTTGCAATGATCAGGCAATTAGGCCCACCAACTGCTTTTATGGGTCTAAGCGCCAATGAAACCGGCTGGGAAAATTTGTTGAAATTATTGTACAAATTGAAAAACGAGGGGGCGGAAATTTCAGATAAGTTTTTAGCAGAAATGAGTTATATGTATAAAGCTCAACTTGTGAATGAAGATGCCGTAACTTGTGCTATTTATTTTAATAAAAAGGTAAATTGTCTATTAAAAGTTTTGCAATCAAAGAAAAGAAGTCCATTCGGAAAATATAGAGTAGTACATTA